CTAATAAAAAAATAAAAAAAAATAAAAAAAAATAAAAAAAAATAAAAAAAAATAAAAATAAAAAAAAAAAAAATAAAAAAAAAAAAAAAAGTAAATTCATTAATTATGTATAGATACTAAACAACTCATCAAACTCATCTTGTGAAAAAGACATCAAATTTGATTATAATGGAGAATCAGGTTCGGATTAATAGCTAGAAGTATTTGGCTATAACTTGTCGTCATCTTTATTTAACTCATTATATATTAATATTAAAGTAGATTCATAAGAAGAATCTCTCTTATTGAAATTGTTTTATAAATTACCTCTCTCTAATTCATACCTCTGATTCTAATTTTAACAACAAATTTTAAAAATTTGGTTTGTGTCACAAACCTGGTACATATTATCTGAATGCATTTGTTAGTAACCAACCCTGTTTTGGATTAATATAAACTGATATATAATTAAATATATACTTATCAAATACTTATTTATTCTTCTTTTCATATTATGCATATAACTTTTTTTGATCAGAAGTTAAGCATGATATCACATACAGCCAAAGTAAAAGCATAGTATTTATTTGATAATATAGGTACTGCAGTTGTAGAAAAGTATTTCTAGCTATAATATCAACCAAAAAACACTCTTTATTTTTATCAAATAGAAAACAAAAATAATTAGTAACTTGTACACTTTTTTTTCACTCCAAAATTTCTGCCACAGCAGCATTTCACTTTAATTAAGAAGATGTTTGAACCTGAAGACCTTCTAAATGGAATTTTTAATGCTTTATAGTGCCACACTACAATAATTTTTCATTTTTTATAGTAACTAAAATAAAATAAGACATAAAAAATTAATTAATTACATTAAAAAATAAATGATTACAAGCAATAATAAATGAAAGAAAATAAATAAATTAAAAATAAATAAAAAATAAACTAAACATTAGCAAATGATGATAATATTTAAAAAAATTTATATATAACACTATATTATTTACCATGAAAGTGGTTTGTATATTTGTTTGTGCTTATTTCAGGCATATACTTTTCATCTAGGTAAGCCTTCAAAGCTTCTTTGAGTATGGTTTGGGAGGAATATATGTGGTGCAAAAAGAAACACTTTACAATGTTTGTATACACATCCTAAATTTAAAAACATCAGTTTAGAAATATTTTTGCAAATTGTTGATTGACTAATCTACTTACATCCAATACTTGAGGAGAAAGATCACTGTTGCATTCTTTCTTTTGCTATTGTAATTTGGCTTTGATATCCTTGCTTGCAGTGATTATTTGTTGCTATGCGAACTGTGCACAGCAAACAAAAACAAAATTTTGCATACATTCTCTTTTGAACATATGTGCGGATGCCACAAAAAATTAACATTTTGTAAGTAGTGCGCACTCTTGTAAATAGTTGTTTATGGTTTTTCTTTATTTGCCACACAGAAAAGGTTTCAAATTGTGCGATATCCGTATGTATAATAAATTTTAACTGAAAAATTAACACTGCAAATATCCTTTGTAATAACACTGTTCTAACATTTTTTGAATCTTTCTAATAATTAAATTGATTTAAAGAGAGAGAAAGTATTAGCTGAAGTCCTTTACAAGAATACTATACTTATTTCTTTATATATTGGTTTAAAAAATCTCAAAACATTTGCCTTACTCTAATTCTAACAACATTATCGTTACGTATAACACTTTCTATTAGTATGTATAAATAAACCAATAAAGTAATGGATTTTTGGCAAAAGTAAGTATCCCCATAAATAGTGCAATCGACACTGCCAAAATACGAAAAAATCCCTGTACGTACGTACGCACGCCGTATTAAAAAGATTATAATGAGCTCTTATCTTATCTATCAGGTCTTCATCAGCATTTAAAGAATACAAAAAAAATTTTTTAATTAAACTATAAATATGTATATTTGGTAAATCCGTAGATTAAAAATTTTAACATTATTGTTATTAAGGTTACAGTAATAAAGATCGGAATACTTAAAGTTTCGCCTCCCGATTTTGGCGGCATCCACTAAACCAATAGTGTATTGTATAATAAGAATAGGGGCCTTGAAGATAATGCCATACAGTATTATACCGTATAAGTTGTATTGTCTTATAAGATTTCTACGTATAACAATACTGATTTTAACGTAAATTGTGGGTGCCGCCTTTCCTGTTTGTAATTTTTGCGTAACGTTACTATGATATCATTTGACGATTTCTTTTTGTAGATGTAAAATTTGATTACTACTTTGAAGCTATTTTTTATCTTAAATTTTTCGAGACAATTAAGCGTTTAAAATAATAAAAAAAGGGTGATAAAACTATAAAAATAAATAGTGAAGAAATCTATGAAAGGTAAGAAGAACATTTTATGGAAATGACTTACTACTTATAGCACAGTCTTTCGTTTTTGATCTTAAAAATCTCAACTTTTATGAAGGTTTCACCAGGTTTCGCCCTTCATCATTTCCGATTTTAAGATTCGTTTTTAATCAGAGGGATTTGGGGTTTCGTCAGGGATTTGTTTTTCGTCTTTCGCCACTTTTAGGTTTCAACTTTCGTCATTACGTAGAAAAGGGTTCAACCAACAACTATAAATCAAGAATTCGAACTTTATTCAATGATCACTCACAAATATCCTCGCGTCCACCTAAGCTCCCACAATATCCGCAATATCCGCAATATCCGCAATATAGAAGGGTTAAAAGAGTCCCACCTTTTTATAAAAAAAGAAAATTTTGGATATATTCTGGTGGAATAGGAATTCTTTTTACGGTATATTATGTAAACCATTTAGAAGTCGTGCCAATAAGTAATCGGCGACGATTTATGGATGTAACCCCAAAGCAAGAAGCAAAATTAGCACAACAAGCATACTCGGAAATAATGAGACGGTATCGGCATAATATTTTGCCAAGCTGGGATCATCGCACAAGATTTGTAAGAACTGTTGCTCAGCAAATTATAAGAGTTAGTGGAATGGAAGGTTTGTTTATAAGCTTTATAATATGTTCATAAAATAAATAAATAAATATATATATATATATATATAGATTCTAAAAAAATATATATATATTTCTAAGATTTGAAGTGGGAAGTTCATGTTATTGAATCACCGGAAAAGAATGCATTCGTATTACCTGGAGGTAAAATCTTTGTTTTCACAGGGATATTACCAATCGTTGAAAATCAACATGGCTTAGCAGCAGTTCTTGGACATGAGGTCAGTTTAAAAGACTGAAGCAAAATATTATGATTATTATATATATATATAAAAATGTTATTAATCAAAGAAAAATATGTCACGAAGATCGCACATCAAGTCGCACGACATAGCGCTGAAAAACTTTCTTTTATCAAAATTATAATAATATTACAAATTTTTCTTAGCTTATTCATTGACCCCGGTCTTCTTGGCAATCTTTTTATGGAACTTGGGATTATGTAAGTTATTTTTAACAAAACCGTAATCATAACGGTACATAAATTGAACCAGTTAACATTAACAATAACAATAATAATAATAATAATGATAATAATAATAATATAATTCAGGATGCCATTTTCGCGTAAATGTGAAAGTGAGGCAGATTATATTGGCCTACTTTTAATGGCTCAAGCGTGTTATAATCCGGAAGAAGCGATAAAGATGTGGAAAAGAATGAGTAAGGCAGAAAAAGTAGCACCACCGCAATTTTTAAGTACACATCCAAATCATGAAGCAAGGATAAAAAAAATAAATGAGTGGATGCCCGAAGCACTACAAAAGAGAGCAGAAAGTGATTGCTTACATCAATTTGAAGGATTTAGAAGTACAACAGAACGGTTTAGACCATTGTGGGTTAATTGGTAATGTTAATAAGAAATAAAACGAAAGATTTTATTACATGTAAAAATAAAACGAAAGATTTATTACATGTAAAAATAAAAACGGAAAATTTATTTATTACTTGTAATATAATAATAAAAGAATACATAATGAGACATAATAATTTATAACAAGTTTTCCGATTTAACAAGCGTCATATATTGATATGCAGTATGAATTCTTGTAAATGTTTCATCAGATAAACCAACTTTTGTATAAGAATTATCACCTTTTTGATCCCATGGTATAATATCCGCATCCTTTGGCATGATTAACTCAATAAAATCGGATAGAATTGGGGAAGCGGCATATGGATGTGTTGTAGGAAGATATTCAACCTAATAAAAAAATAAAAAATTAATGTTAAACATTTAACGAAATAATTAACTAAAATGATTTAAGTGATGTTGGAAATGAATTACTTCAACGAGAATTCCTTTATGCCTGACATCAATAGTTCGAACTATAAAGTCACCAATGTTGTAAGAAAATCCCTTTTAAAATGAATGCAAAGTTCATGAATTAGATATAAAGAAAGACTTAAAAGAAAATATAAAGAAAGACTTAAAGGAAAATATAAAGGAAGACTTAAAGGAAAATATAAAGAAAGACTTAAAGGAAGATTTAAAGGAAATTTAAAGGAAAATATAAAGAAAGACTTGAAGGAAGATTTAAAGAAAGATTTAAAAGAAAATTTAAGAGAAGAATTACACGAAAACAAACCTCAAATTTTACATCCTTTTTAATAGACCATAGATTTTTCAATTTTGATAAAATAGTTTCTAACTCATGTTCAGCTTCGATCATCACATCATCGGCAAGGCAATAAACTTTACCATTATCGTTACTAAAAACTAAAGAATGAATAAGTTTTGGAGTTCCAGCCGTCGCATTTTTATTATCACGAAATAATTTAGTTGTAATATGCCAAGGTTTAGATTGACGATTGGAAAATTGGCTAGTTATTCGTTCATGAAAAGTCAAAGAGTAATGAGCAATATTAATATCTTTAAGACCTTTAAGGAGTAAAACACTAATTAGAGGATCAAAAAGTAGTTAGAAAAATATACACCAGTATGAATATGCATTTTTTTTTGACAACGAATCGTATACCGTGTAACGCCCATTTTTAACTTTATCAAACAGAGTCATGAATTCAACACACAGATTTATTGATAACCGATCACACGCACGTTTCTAGTTTCGTTTCAGTGACGCCGATTGATTGCGCAATAGTAAATATATATCCGATTTTGACTAAAATACTAAAAATAAAATAAAAAAACAATACTATAGCTATTTTTTTTTTTTTTTTTTTTTTTTTTTTTTTTTTTTTATTGGTACATACACATAATTTGAATCACTTACGAGTATTAAAATTCAATGTTACTTATGCAATAGCAGTAGTTTACAATTAGGAATTGATATAAAATATACATATACATGTATGATAGTCAATATGGTTTGTATATGGCAGGTACGTACATCAATTAGTCTTTTAGTTTATTTAGTTTATTTGCATATATATATATATATATTGACTCGATAAATTCGGGTCTGATAAATTTTCTTTTTTTTTATATTTAAAAAACCATAAAAAACAATCTGGGGCAATATAAATAGTATGCACAAACACGAAGTTGCTTAAAAATAGTATCATATATTTTCATATAAAATTCATATAAAAAGATCATCTTATTAAGACCAACATTTTTTTTTCTAATCATATGAGAATTTTTTGAAATTTTTTTTTTTTTTTTTAATAATATAATAAATTTATTAAATATATATATATATATATATTCAGATATATATATTTTCATAAGAATCCGCGCATACATCCTCAAAAAAAAAAAATCAAAAATGAATAAATTTTTTTCCATCATAATTATTTCACTTATTTTCTTCTCGGCATTCGCAAGCGCACAAAGTGCAACCGCAGCAAACCCTGCTCCTGCTGCTGCCACTTACCCCCCTGGTGAGGATATGAAAATATTTTGAATGTTTTGAATGTTTTGAATCTCTTAAAAAGTTACTAATAGAACTTCTTATTTTAAAGATCCAATTGATCAATGTATTAAAGATAGAGGTTGTGCTGATAGTGATGTCGCGTGTCGTGCCAAGTGCGCACAAGTTCCTAACCCTTCAGACCAAGATGTTAACAAGACCAATTCCTGTATAGCTGCTTGTCCAAGTAAATAAAATTTTCTTGGATCTATTTTATTTATTTTTATTTTTTCAGTATTTCTAACTTCTATAACTTTTATAACTTTTATAACTTTTATAACTTTTATAACTTTTATAACTTTTATAACAGATAATACCGCCGAAGCATACCAAACATGCAGAAATAATTGTATTTCACAATATTATTCTCAACCAACTAGTAATCCACAAAGTGCTCCTTCTGTAGCTTCCACACCAACTAGCCCTAGCGCGCCGTCGGGTACCGCAAACGTGTCGTCAACCGACAAACCAACATCAACACCCAATCCTATTTCTGCAGCGTTGTCTCTTAGTCAATTTAAATCAAATCTTTATTTTGCTCTTTTCCTTGCTATTTTTGCTGCTGCTATTTTATGAAAAAAAATATAATACGATTCTACTCATATTAGATGTTTTTCAGTCTGGCAATTTCAATTCTTATTAAACCAAAAAAAAAAAAAAAAAAAAAAAGGAGGCTTGCCTTAATATATAGTTGTAATAATATCTTTCGTAATATACTTTGTAATACATACCTTCGTAATACATTCAGGGTCGTTAGACATTCCCAAATCTAAATACTAAATAATTCTATTACCGTAGATAAACTTTAACAATGTATCACATAACGATAAGGTTATTTCTTATCTCTGGAACTCTTTTAGACCAATCAATTCAATAAAAATCTAATATTACATACATTTTAAAAAAAAATCAAGTTTTTTTATCACATGATATACTTCATTCCTTCAAGGACCGAGTTACATTAATTCGATCAATTCGATCAATTCATTGAACTCAGACATCCTCATGAAAAATAAACGTCATAGTCACATAACAGATAACAAGATGTCATTATAGATTACGAAATCTTTTTTCATAATCATATGATCCTTAACACTATATAAGAGGAAACATTTTCAATAAATGACTTTCGTGTGAAAGAAACAATTTCACTTTTTACTATACTTTGATTTGGTTTCGAACTCACGCGCAATATTTATAAGTTTTATAAAGTGATAAGAGATGGGTACATTTACAGATAAGGTTGGTTTTGAAAATAAATATCTTGAGGGTAAGTTTTTTTCCCCCTTAAAATAACAATACAATCAAAGAAATATCTTGTGTAAAATTTTAAATTGAATTTATTTGGATTTATTTGAATTTATTACATTTATTACATTTCTCACATTTCAAGTATTTTTAAATGTATATTTAGGAACTTATGTTGCAATTTTTGTGCACTTGATTATTTGGTTGACATTATTGTTGTTTTCCGAATTTATTCGTAAAAGACACATTCTTCCGACTCCTAATATTATAAGGTTTGAACCAAGCGTAAGCGTCGAACCTATGTCGCCACAAGATTTTGCGACTTCGGAACAAATGGTAATCTAATTGTTTGTAATGACTAAATGTTAATCTATACGTATCAGTATATAGTTGGTATACAATTGACACGTGATTTGGGTGATTTGGTTAAAGGATAATCGCTATGCAAAAGCGACTAGAGTTGCAAGAGATTCTCTGTTGATGCTTGTTATCGCGACTATTGTAAGTCTCGCATAATTTTGGTTCTATTACTGTATTAGAAGATTATCTTTCTTATAATCCTTATAATCCTTTTTTATAATCCTTTTTTTTTTTTGTTTCTAGATGACTCAAACGGGTTATGGCGCGGGCGTGGTAAGCATATTTCTAGTGTTGCAGTTGACCATTACATATTACGTGTTGTTGCGATCCAAAACTAGAATATACACATTACGTGTTGTTGCGATCTAAACTAGAATATTTCACCTAGCGAAATTATTTCGCCATAGCGAAATTATTTCACTCTGGCGAAATGCAACACAACATATGGACGATACATTCGTTATTTACTCATCTATTTTATTCATCTATTTTATTCATCTCTTTTATAAGGAATCAGTCATTCTTTCTTGGGTTTTTATGACCTTATCTATTTGTTGGGTTCTTTCTATCTTATTTTTTGACCACTTGTGGGTACCTTTAGTTCTTCAAGCAATAGCATTTCCTTTTATTCTAGCACTGCTTGCCTTAGCATTTCGTACTTCTGAAAAAGGAAATCCTCTTCTTCAATATCCTCGTGCAAAAGTTATTGGTTATGATAATTTGGGTTCATATTGGTAATAGAAATTTTAAAAATAAGAAAGTTATTTGATTATGTGGCGTAGTAAAATTGCAATATTTGTAAACGTAAATGATATTTTGATACCCAAAATTGTTATCGGACCTCATTCTTATCTTTCTTTATTATATAAAATTGTCATACTGTTACTGTTTTACAGTTAGCACGATCTTGATAAATGCAATATTCGATAATCTTTACATAGAGAACACCGAGGAAATACCGAGATAAATTTCATCTTTTGTTAGTGATTTACATACACGTGTAAAATCCTGTGAACAAACATCATATTTTAATGAAATATTGTTATCGATATCTATATATATACCCGATGCGTATAAATAACGATATATCTACGTATTCTCGAGTTTTCAAGAATCATTATTTATTTAATTTTCTTTCCTTTTTTTTTTTTTTTTTTTTTAAAGTTGAATCATACTCTTGTTAAAACTTAGCATGTATCCCGATAAAATCACAACGCAGTTGGAATGGACAACCTCTTTGAAAGTGGGTTCCCCAACCAACCTTAGAAAGACGTCTATAATTTGTACTATTGGTAAAGTTCGAAATTCACTCAACCTTTTTTTTTTGATTTGATAAAAATTTCTTCATTTTTTCCTCATTTTTTTAATGTATTTTATCGATCTTGTCTATTTTTACTTCAAGGTCCTAAAACTAATAGTTTAGAAATGATTTCTGCCTTGCGTAATGCAGGCATGAACATTGTCCGTATGAACTTTTCTCACGGTTCTTATGAGGTTTGTGATCAAAATTTTCTCAAATTTAATACTCTTCAGAGACTTATTTAAAATATAAATTTCAGTATCACCAATCTGTCATCGACAATACGCGTGAAAATGCTCGATGTATGTTACTATATAATATATATATATTTTTTTTTTATTTTTTTTTATCTTTGATATACTAATTGAGGGCGATTTGTCGAGTAGTATATCCCGGTCGACCTGTTGCGATTGCTCTTGACACGGTAATATTCATTTGATCTTTTTGACAATTAATCAATTTTTATCAGCACCATATTAATATTATTTAATTTTGCAGAAAGGGCCCGAAATCCGAACGGGTCTCATGCGTGACAATAATGAGGTATGTGTTATAATTTTTTTAAATATCATGAATATCATGAATTGTTTTTAATTACTTTGTCTTCATCTCGATAGCTTCCAATCAACGCTGGCCATGAGATGATCTTCAGCACAGATGAAAAATATGCCGAGGCTTGTGATTTGAATGTAATGTATATCGATTACAAGAATATTACCAAAGTTATCGAAGTAGGAAAAAATATATATGTGGATGATGGTGTTCTTTCGTTTAAAGTATTAGAGGTTCATGATGATTTTGTCAAAGTTCGTGCCATCAATAATGGAAAACTTTGTAGCAAAAAGGGTGTAAATTTACCTGATACAGATGTGGATCTACCAGCTGTATCTGAAAAAGACAAAAATGATTTGTTATTTGGTGCAAAAAATGAAGTAGATATGGTTTTCGCTTCTTTTATTCGTCAAGCTCAAGATATTAAAGATATTCGACAAATTCTTGGTGGAGATGGATGTGGAATCAAAATTATTGCAAAGATCGAAAATCAACAAGGTGTTAATAATTTTGATGAAATCTTAAAGGAAGCTGATGGTATTATGGTTGCTCGTGGTGATCTTGGTATCGAGATTCCAGCGTCTCAAGTTTTTGTTGCACAAAAAATGATGATTGCTAAATGCAATCTTGCCGGTAAACCAGTAGTATGGTACGTTTTACTGTATGTCTAGTCTTTTTTTTCTTTATACCATGATTTAAGTGCTTAAGAAATTATATAATTCTTTTAATTAGTGCAACACAAATGTTGGAGTCTATGACAGTAAGTTTTTATAAAAAATATTTCGATTTCTTCGATTTCTTCGATTTCTTATTTACTATGATGAAATTGATGAAATTATATAGTATAACCCAAGACCAACACGTGCAGAAGTTAGTGACGTTGCAAATGCTGTATTGGATGGTGCAGATTGTGTTATGTTATCTGGTGAAACTGCGAAAGGATCTTATCCTATCGAAGCCGGTAAATTTATTATCTGTCTTTAGTTTTCTATCATTAAACAAAAATTCTAAATTATATATTGAAATTATATATTTGAATTATATATTTGAAATTAAATTTATTCTTTTCAGTAAAAATGATGCATGAAACATGTATCACAGCTGAATCAGCTATTTGTTATCCACCTCTCTTTCATCAGCTGCGTGTCCTTACTCCTTTACCATTGGAAACGGCTGAAGCTGTTGCTTGTGCTGCAGTTACCGCCGCAAATGAGACACATGCAGGTTGTATCCTTGTCTTATCCACGTCAGGAAATACAGCACGTTTAATCTCTAAATATAAGCCTCGTTGCCCGATCGTTACTGTCACGAGAAATGCCAAAACTGCAAGGCAAATTCATCTTTACCGAGGTTGTTACCCTTTCATATATGAAAAGCCTAGAACTGAAGTCAATGAAACACGTTGGCAGGAAGATGTTGAAAATAGAATTCAATGGGGAATGAGTCTTGCTGTTACGCATAAGTATGTAGCTCCTTGCTTTAATGTTACTTTGAATTAACGTGTAATCTTAATTCTAAATAAAATAAAATAATTTTTAGGATACTTGAAAGTGGTGAACCGGTTATTGCCATTCAAGGCTGGAAATACGGTATGTGTTTAACTGAATTTATTTCATACTGTTTTATTCGTGTATATTCGTGTATATGTACTGATTTATTTGTGTATTATGTATGATCCTTAAATTTGTATCCATTACTTTTGTTCCAGGTCTAGGACATACAAACACAATTCGCATACTTTCTGCACCATAGAAGATAATTGTTAATGATATCTAATATTAGCTTAATGCTTTATTGTGCAGATCGAATATCCTTAAAAAACATTGTTCCTTAAAAGTATTTGATCCACGCGGTACGTTAGTTATTAGTACCTTGTTAGTACTTATACTTAAACTTTGATCAGCATTCATATTTATCGTTATGCGGAGTTCATATGATAGTAATAAAGCTGCTTATGTGTACAAGCCATCTAGTTATCTAGTTATACCAGTGCCGTTCATTTAAGATGAATCAATTGTTCTATGAACTGCTTTTTATAAAGTTAATGAAAATGCCTAATTGTTTTTCCATTGTGTGACATGATTCAGAATTGTGTGCCATTATTCTATGAATTATATGAATTATTAATTGTTATTAATTGCAGTTTTGGATGCTCCCTGTAAATTTCACAAGTTTTAAAAGAACAGTGGGGATTTTAAGATCATTAATTAATACATTTCCGAACGTCAAATTAATTTCGGTTAACTATTTTCTAAAGATTAACCCATAATGTTAATGCAAAGTGATTTGTAACGGTCAATCAAGATATGCATTAAATGTGTTCCTATTATTATATACTGTATTAACTGTATTAACTGTATTAAATATGAAATAAGCGCCGTTTTGAGTTAGTATACAAGTTCCGGAAAAAGTAAAAAAAAATTTAAATGAATCCATTCTACGTATTAAAGTTAACAGGGCGTACATAATTTAGAGGGAAAGAAGAATAAATTTTGTCTTATCAAATTTTTTAGATAACAAATTTATATGCATGCTAAACCAAAAATCATTCTTTTAAATCATTCTTTTAAACGATTTGTAGTACCAAGCTGAAAAATTTACGCCCAACCTAAACATAAAACTATAAAAATAGATTTACAAATATATATAACGATAAATATGATTTCTCGCCTGATCTTTTTTATGTATAGAAAAGTCGGACGCTACTTTTAGTGCGTGCGTAAGTTAACACATAAGAATTAGTCGATCCTGCTCTTGTTTATTTCCCCTTGAAATTAATAAACATTAATAAAACACTAATAACCATTAATAACCATTTAAAATAAACCTAGATCTTCTGCATTCAAGGTACGATATGTTGTCACATGTTATTCCACTTTAGAAAAAAAAACTTTTAAGAAAAATCATGTGAATTACACCATTTAAAAAAAAATACTCTATATAGGTTTTTTATGAAGCAGTCTCCAGAATTCCCGTGTCAGGAATTCACCATAGTTGGACAATAAAAGCATTATCAGTTGACTATTGTTATACCTATAGCAGAATGATCAGCTGAGCATTTGAATTAGCCCCGAATTTATTTGCTTTCTATGAATTATTATTCTGGTAAAATTTTGGATTTCTGTTTAGAATTTTTTTGTTTTTATTTGCATATATATAGTATACATATATACATGTATATTATACATAAAATTTCAAAAATTCTATAAATAAAAAATCTTTTAGGTAAAATGTTAGAAATAAATTTATATTTAACGTTAATGCTAATAATGATCGACCAATCAGGGTGCAGAATTAGATGTAACATACAAACAATCGGGTTCAAAGAATTTTGTTTAACATTAACAAGGATTGGTGGTCATTTGATCGAATTTAAAATACGTAACCCTGAGTCCTGGAATCATCAAATAATGATTAGTTATTTTAATTTTTAATTATTTTTAATTATTTACGTATACATATGATAGTTATATAATTGTTAATAGGGTTTTGCAATTTGATTTGAGATCTTCAAATATTTGAAATATTTGACTATCGTTATTATTAAAATTTAAAATTTGCCTAAATTCCGATATAGTTAAATTTGATTTGATTTAACAAATATTTGGCTTTTAAGGTTAAAATATCAAATAAACAAAATCTCGACAAACAAATTCCAGACAAAATTTAACGAAACTATGGAAAGTCGAGATTTTTTAACCCAGCTTCCAAATGATTCGATTAATAAAAATTATATATTATTGAATGTTTAAAAGTTATATACTCAAAAATTTTTTTAACTACGTATATAATTTTTTTTATTTTATAAAATTAGAAATATTTACGACTGATGTTGAAATTGGGCTGAAATTGGCTAATGCTGCAATTTAAACTATTTTAATATAAAATTGTTGTTAGGCTAGGATTTAGGAAGGAGTGGATTTGAGTAGAGTTTAATACAGTATTTTGAGACAAATTTTAGCACCAGCCGCGATATTTATTAAATTTATATATATTGTAAGTGGGAACAGGATTAAATGATAGTTTGGGACTTGGTAAATTCTTAAGAGTTTTTACTAGTTTCAACAATTGTGTTGTAACTCAAACTTATGCATTACGGGCTAGAGCGCGAATATAATCGAGTATTGTCTAGCGATGCAGGGGAATTATTTCCACAATCATGAAAATAATTCCCCTGCACTATCAACTGCACCATGTTTTTATTTGAGTTGATTTTCCTTAAGGTTTGGAATATGAAAAAGAAATGGGCACAGGTTTGGTTTCAAATTGGGTTTGGAATATCGATAAATGCCAATTCCTGAACTTAAAGTAAGCAAAAATCCAAGATTATCCCAGGTTTACATAATTAATAGATTTTCGTTTATAGGTGAATGACTTGGAAGGTATGCCAGGTTTAGGTCAAATGCAAAATTGAAGTAAATGGCATTTAAATATATGAAGTCGATGATATAGTAATGGTGCTATACGTATAATTATCTGTTGTTATAATTATCTGTTGTAAGGTTTAATTATTTTATCAAAAGTGCATGTTTAAATGATCTACAGTATTTGTTTGCTTGAGAATTTTATTTTCATAAGACATTTTAAAATATCCAAATTCTAAACCTTTTTTTTTTTAATCGGCCTGGTCTGCTAACGTGTACATGGGATTTTCGCGTTATCTTATGGCACAATCAGTGTTATAAATTCGAAAAATTTTTATTGCCGCAAACGCAAAAAAATATGCAAAAAAAAGAAATTTATACGCACTTTATATATACGGAGAGCACTGATATATGCGCAAATTTAAATCTATGTACGCTGCGCCTACCGCGCGAATCCAATTTACATCACTGGGCACAATTATAAACGAATCATATTTAACAATATTGAATCAGATTTTTATATTTATATCTTTTTGTAGTTTAGAAAATTCAAATTTTATTATTCAATAACGATAAAAATAATTATCATTTATCGCAGGTGCGATGCATCGTCACTCTATAATCAACAACCATCGGATGAGAGGTGAGGTTTGGGTTTGGGTAGAAACATAGTTAAAAATAACTTTTTAACCCAAAATTTAGCAAGGAATTTTTTTTTGTTAGAACAACAAGGGAGGTTTCATAGGTAAAATTTCGAGCTAGAAGCAAAAAATCGTAATTGCTTCGATTTTCACGTTACACCTGATCCTGCATCCTGATTGGTCAAATCGCATCGCACCTGCGACAAATGATAGCTCTCTTCTGGTAGATTTTTGTTAAATTTAGCAGGTTGTGATATCGCAGGTTAATATTTAAAAAAAAATTAAAATTTTTATTAATTAGGGTTAGGGTTCGAACTAGTATTAGAATTGGGATTAGAGAACACATACTAGTTTACATAATGAAATTTCAAGATATTTAAAATTTGAAAATTACTACAAATCACCACTGGTGATTATCACCGGTGATTTACGATATATAATTAGGAGTAATGTGTAAACTTTTAAACAAAAGTTTATTTGTTTTGATATTAGAGTAAGAGTAATGGTTTGATAATAAAGTTAAACAAAATCTATAGTAAAATTTTGCAAGAAATTTTTTTTTGTTAGAGTTTGAAAGATGGTTTCATAGACAAAATTTTAAAATAAGATTGATTTTTTAAAAAATTCTTTGTTTTTGTTACATGAAACTGATTTGCATGTTATACCTGATCTTGCAAATTGATTGGCTAATTATGCACAGGTAATGATCACTAATAGTAATAAATAGCAAACTTCTTAAAAATTTTAATTTTTTGAAGTTTTTTAATTTTTTGTTAATTTTTGTTATATAAGATCCTGTGATCTAATTGGTCAATTATATTAACCTGCAATATACATAGCAACCTGCAATATTTAACAACATTCTAAATTTATTAGAATGAATTAAAACTAAAGCTCAGGTTTTCTAATTTTGAATTAAATTATTAATTTACATATTATTATTATTATTTTTTTTTTTCATTTAGGCAAGATTGTGCCAGTGATCGATGTTTATTAAAGCTTCAATCCTGTGAGAGATTACAAGTATATCATTATAACAATAAACCTAAGATCTTGACATTCCACAGCTGCTTTACTGAGTGCCCATCAGCGACCTGCCACATTAGTGAGATAAGACCAAAAGATAATACTCTAACCAGAGAGCTCATCTGACCCACCATCCTACAATAGGATACCACCATCTTCTCGTAGAGAAGTGAAAAAAAAAAGAAAAACTATATAAAAAAAAACACAGAGGTATAGGGGAATACGATAAAAGTTACAAACAAGAAAATAAAGAAAATATTTGAGCGAAAACCTAAAAGGAAAAAAAAAAGCTCTTCGACATTAGCACCATACTCTAGCACTATAAGCTCTTCAGCTTCTTTTGTTTAAACTCCCATAGAAACATAAACAAAAGTGTGCTTCGGGCACCATAGAGAAGTCAGAAATTCACACAGTTGGTCATAAAGCATTGTTTGTTCGGGTTGCCACTTCTGAGGCACGTAATTTATATATCCACATTCCATAAGTATCCATATGTTTGTTGTGATAGGAAAGAAGTAAACAATGCTGACTGATTTGGTAAGTAAACAATATGTCGATCTTTTGGAGGAGATAAGCTAAATCACCTACTTTTTTACAAAATTTTTTCTGAAAAAAAAGTAGAGAAACAACGAGAGTATATGAGGTTCTTTTGTAAGTTTTACAGTTATATAGGCAATTCTTCAAGCTTCAACTATTTCAGCGAGAGTCTTTTGACTACTTCTTGTTTCCAGAATAGACCTTCTGATTTGAATGCCAAATAATTTAAAGAGTTCATTTGATAAATTAGCAAAAAAAACTTGACCTCAAGAAAAACCATCCAAGTTATACCTGCTCCTCGGTATATCATATCTCTTGAACTTTGTCAACAACAACCTATGTTAAAGTAAAAACAGTTTCTAGAATACCCTTCTGGTTTGAATGCTGATAATTTGGGGAGTCCACTAGAAACAGCAAAGTTTGACCCCAAGAAAAACCATCCAAAAAATGTCTGCTCCTCAGTGTTTTACGTCTTTAGACTTCGTCAACAACTGCTTTACTCTAAGGTAGGACTAAAAAGTATCTGTCTTGGACATTTCTATATTGTTTTTCTGTAGTTCGGTTTTCTGTTGTTGTTGTCCAGAGGATCATTGGGATTTGATTTACATATTATTTTAAAAGTATTAAGTAATCTTTTATATAAATTAATTTCTATTAGTGAACTTGCTTTGAACTTGCTTTATGCAAATTAATTCTATTTAGAAAATATAGCTTCAAAAATGTAGTTAATACATATCAAAATTTACATTATTATGCATTTTCTATAACACTTTGTCTATTCTCACCTAATAATGGTAAAAATTACTTCGAACAAAATTATAATTTAATTTCTTTTGCTCTTTTCACTTTTTTTGTTTAATAAAATTGTCAAAAGCATGATTACAAAAGAAACAAACAATATTGATGAATTTTCTGACTTAAAAAAAAATCAGTAAAAAAGGATTTGGAATTATATCCAAAGCAAGATGAAAAAGGCAAAATCATTAAATAAAAATTACTGTCACTATTAAAAAATTAAAAAATAAAAATGATATTAATAATTTAAACAAGAAGTAAGAGTTCTTATTGTACATATCCTATGTGCACACCTGAACTTTTTTGTATATGTTATTGATCACTTTCTAATTATTCAATACACAACTTCTGATTACTTTATATATATGTAATATACAAATATTGACCACTTTATATGTATGCAATATACAAACTCTAATTACATTATATATAAAAATATGTAAATTTCACTTATTTTAAAAGCAAATAAATTTTAATCGCATTATAGCAGAATTAATAAGTTATATGAAAAATAAATAAATTTACGCAAGTTTTAAATTGATATTTAAGTTGTAAGTTTGTGGAGAAGTACTTGGAGGAAGTTTGATAATGATATTATTATTAATATCAGAGAGACTTCTTTTATTCTTATGGTGACTAATATCAGAGTGACTTCTTTTATTATTATAATACAAATTGAAAAAAGGAGAATCAGGCTTGATGGTGGTTTAAAAGAAGCTATTACTGAAGTGCTTTTGTTGTAATGCTTTGGCTTAGAAATTTTTGATTGTAAATTCGCTTCTGTATACAAATAAGGCTTGCTGCAATTGATCGATTTCTTCTTGTAATAGAAGTTGCAAAGCTTTCATAAAACTCTTTTTTTTTTTTAGTGAAATTGTTTTAAAAAAAATGTAAGTGAAAGAATGAGAGAATTGTATTGTGATTAGAAAGTGATCAATTATATATATGAAAAACTATGGTGCTTACGTCAGACATACCTAATAACTGTGTTATCAGTTAAATTGCATATAATAAAAATTACATAGTAGAGACTATATATTTCACGTGGCTTTGCCACGTAAAATATATAGTAACCTAGTATGTAATAGGTTATCATCCACAATATAACTAATAACAAGTATATAATATTTAATACAAGAATATTTTAATATATTATATTAATAACTAAATATTTATTTTAGCTTAAGATTCTAAAAAAAGTTTGCAAAAATTCTAAATATTGAAACATTATTAAATTTTACAAAATTACAACTATTCATAAAAATCCCTTTAACATAGTTTTTCAATTTGTAAATAAGGATGACTTACAAACTTATTTAGAAGAATCATTTAAAAAATTTACATAGATTCAAGTTACAAATAGCATATGAAATATCAAAAGGTGTTGAATTTTTATATAAAAATAATATTATTTATTGAGATCTTATAAGTATTAATAGTATTAATTTATTATTTAAAAATGTTACAATAAAAATTAACAAAATTTATATTTTGTTTAGCACACCAAAAATATTCTGGTTTACAAAGGAATATATGAAAGAAAAATGTTAATTGCTGATTTTAGACAAGCAAAATTTTTGAATCAAGAAACTCCAAATGCTGACAAACTTTATAAAATTTCAGTATATACTGATTCTACTAAACTTACTAATTTTACTGCTGAAATTACTGAAAAATCAGATATCTATAGTTTTAGAATGATTTTCTAAGAACTATTGAGCGGTAAACCACCATTACAATCAATTCAAGACCAACTACTTTTTATTCTCAAAGTGTCTTTAAAAGGAATAAGAGAAAAACCAATCGAAGAAACTCCACCCTGTTACATGAAACTATACTAAAATTGTTAGGATCTCATATCTGAAAAACACATAAATATAGAAGATATTATTAATTATTTAAATACTATTTTACTTGATTTTTAAATTAGAATTAAAATACATGCAACAAGCAAATTATTTTATAATTTAATACATAATTTGATTGTTATACATTTTTTTTTTAACAAAAAAAAATCGCATATTAGTTGATTTGTTGAATTTTAAATTAGAGTGTATTTTTTTTAAATTTTAATATCAAATAACTTTTTATAAATTAGTTTATTTAAAATAATTTTGCTTTTAAAATATTCTTCTCTTTAAGATGATTCTAACAAGTGTAAAATCATCTAAATTGAATTACAGGATTATGAGATATTGTGCTGTCAAATAATGACACACCCCATTATGGGTTTGACACTATCAAACCTATAAGGGGTGCATCATTCAATTTAGATGATTTTACATTTATTAGAATCATCTTAAAAAGAAGAATATTTTAATAGCAAAATTATTTTAAATAAACTAAGGCCACACAAATTTAATATATTAGTTTTTATAACATGAAACTTTTAAACAGACTGGCTGGCCGGCTTTTTTTTTTAAATTTCATATATAAAAATTTATAAAATTTTTTTAAAAATTTTTTAAAATACCCACCCAGTTATTAAAATATACAAAAATTTTTTTTTACAAATTTTTAAATTTTGACCCAGCTGAGTTATGAAAACCAATTAATTAAGTTTGCATAGCCTAATTTATAAAAAGTTATTTGATATTAAAATTTAAAAAAAATACACTCTAATTTAAAATTCTGCAAATTAACCGATATGGATTACTTCCCGATTAGGGTTTAAACTACTATATTAATTTGCCAGACATTCAAAAGTACTATTCTTGATATATAATATATTGGAATTTTAATTGGCTAAAATAGTAAATGCAATATATTATCTATAGCTGCAACTTGCAGATCTAAATCATTATCCTGAAGATTTTTTTAATTATTAGTCTAGATCAGAGGTCTGCATTGATTTGTAATTTGATAATTAAAAGTTAAGTTTGGGGTCCAAATACTTGAATTTGATAACTGAATTTTTTATAAATTTGTTTTTTTTTTTTTTTTTTTTTAAAAAAAAAGCGGGGTCTTGCCTCAGTTTTTATTGATAAAGTTATGTGATTACATTTATAAAGAAAAGCATAACATATACTCTAAAGCTAAAACTAAGACTTGAGCTACTTTACCCACGACCCAAACTTTACCAAGAGGGGCCAAAGCCTCGTCTAGATTACGATTTGGGAGAGTTTTTTAGGAGATGTATTATTTTGTATGAATGATTTAGACCAGCTTGCAACTTTCTTTCTAGCTATTTCGTCGATATCTGCTTTAGAATTATCAGTACTTGTGATAAAGTTATTTGTGGTATTTGGTATGTTTGAAGACGTTGGAGTCGTTATATGGTTTGCAGCATTTTGGCATCTAGATATTCAGATATTCTTGTAGATTGATTTGTTGATCTTGTGTAGGATTATTGTAATGGGCGTATGTTTCCTCTGGGCTGTTTTAAGTAGGTGATTGATCGTAGTTTTTTGGGTTTCTGAGGTGATTCCTAGTAGGATATCAGGTGGGTGATCATTGTGTGTGGTAGTCTCTGGTATTTGCATCAGGTTGGATATTTGTTTTTTTATTGCCTCTGAAGCTTGTGCTTTGGTACAGATTTTTGTTATTACTTGCTGAATTATCAGAGCAATAGTGAGGGTATTTGCTGGACAGAAAATCCAGTGTGTATTGGTTTCAGCTTCAGTTGTGCATCTTGGGCAGTTTGGGCTAGAGTATTTTTTAGGGTTGCGAGTATTTAAATTTGAGAGTGTTGGTAGTTTATCGAGTAATAGTTTAACCTTAAAGACCTTGATCTGAGATTGTTTGGGATAGGTGAACCTTGTTGTTGACTTGTTGTGAAAGTTTAGATAGTCATGCATTGTGTTCCAGGATATCTGTGTTCTGTTTGTGTTCTATCTTTCCATCTTGTTTTGTGAGTGCCATCTGGCTATATGCTGTGCATTTTGGATATGTCGAATAAATCGTCGAGGTTTGTGTATGACGTAGGCCTGTTGCAAGTATGCTGTAAATATGTCTTGATGGATATAAGTGTGTATAATATCAAGACTCGTGGTGTTGGTGGAGGATTGTGTAGTACTAGAGGGACGGTTTATAAGTGCCATGTTAATGGTAAGGTCTTTTTTGGCGATAAGAGCTTTGAGAGTAAGCCAGTTGGCCCATAGATGAGTAGAAAAAATAGATGCAGTATTGTGTGCAGATATGTTGAGAATATTGTTAGTAAGTTGTATAAACTTTGGGTCATCAGTGTAAATTGTGAGATAGGTGTTTGTATTTGCTATTAGTGCTATGCTAGATAAAGCGTCGATTTGTGTTTTGTTTTTTGAGGGTCAGGTAGAGGTAGTTTGGCAGAGTTTGATATCAGTTTGAGGTATGTACCATACTGTAGTGTGGGTTTTGCTATCAGGTGTATCTGTGCTGTAGTACGTAAGTATTATGTTAATTGTACTTTTTTTTAGGATTTGTTGATGTATTTTCTAAAGAGCTCAGGCTGCTTTCGCAGGATGTATTGTTTTGCTAATATCCTCATAAATGACTAATTCTCTTCGATTAGCAGTAGGCTTTTTAGGTAAGGTATTTGCTAATATAGGATTTTTGGCAATAGTAAAAGAGCTGTATTTTATGATGTCAGTAATATTGCCTCAGATTCTGTGTTTGCAGTCAACTTGGATAGTAATCAGTTGGTTGAGTAGTTTGGTAAACATGCATTTTTTCTTCTGTAGTTTTGGGTTGTTAACTTCAGGGCTTTAGTGTGTCGTTAATAGGATTGAGCTTCCAGTAGTGTATTGTTGCTTTGTTCTGTGATATTGATGTTATTTTGCTGATCATAACTTGTGTTGGTGTGAGAACCCAAGATTGTTTTGTTGCTGTAGCTGTTTGAACTATATAGGGATTTGGTTTGATTAAAGTGATGTTGTTTGTTTTAATTTTTTCTTGTATGATGTTTGTTAGCTTGGCGAACCATTTTGGTTCTCTTCCATGTAGAATCTTTTGTATTGTTTGAGGAAGGTGAAACTATAATGTTGTATATGCCTGTGTACTGTTTGTGAGTTGTTCTATTGTGTATAATCCTAGTAAGTTAAGGCTTTTCTTGATTTTGTGTAGACCTTTGAGCAGGTGTAGAATCGTGTTGATTGAGTGTCCTGGGTTTGATAGTGGTATTGGCCAGTTGTTGCTTTGGTTTTCAAGTGTTATTTGTGTGTTTTGTAGACTTTTTAGCATCTGCACTGATGGTAAAAGGTGCTCGGGTTGAGCTATGATATAATCTTGATGCTGGAGAATAGACTTGGTAGTTGCAGCTGCATGTTGTAATTGCTGAAGCCTTATTTTGAATGTAGATTTGTGGAAATCTGGGTGGTTAAGCTGGTATAGGATGAGAGAGATATGCTGTTGTGTTTGAATATCCTCGATGGTTTTTAAGGCGTATATTATATTATAGAAGATAGTTGAGTTGGGAATTGATATAGCCAGGCCTGCTTTATGTTTTGCGATGTTTGTATATTTGTTTGTTATTCTGGTGCAGAGGGTGGGAGGCAGTGTTGTATTTTGAACTCTATAACTAATTCTGGTTAGGATTACTGTGTTGATGATATATATTGTTTGTTTATCGGTGATTTTTGCTTTTTTGATCTTTGTAAGTATATTTGTTGTTTCATTTGTTATGATGTTGTGTATTGGAGTTGGCTTTTTTGACATCGAGTACCAGCAACCTAGGAATCTGAATGCTTGTTTAGGTTTTATGCTCTCTATGGTGATGTTGTTAAAGGTAATACTGGGTAGATTGGTATGGTTGAGTGTAACTAATACG